TCAAAAGGAAATGAATTAGTTAATTCAATAAGAGAGAAAAGGGGTCCAGCACTTGATTTCATTGCCCAAACGAATCACATTCAATCGTTTACTCATTCCATGAGTCCGTCGAAGGCAAACCACCAGAACCAAGAAATGGGAGGGATGGGGTTAAAGGATTTGAATTATTTAACCTCCTAGCGAGACAAGCGTGGAGAATGCTGCAAGAACAAGAAAGTTTGAGTGCAAGGGTGCGAAATGTATTTCCCTGATGAAGACTTCCTAAGAGCAGACGTGACTTCCCGTCGGGCGCCCGATGGGAGCCGATTAAAATCGGGCGCTGATGTCAGCATGACGTCAGCGCCCGATTTACGTGCAAAAACTATTTTAAACTGATTTTTCTCTTAAACTACTTATCTAAATAATGATCCGATTGCACCATTAAATTCGTAGCAATTAAATCTTCAAAACAAGACCACACATGGATATATTCCGACGAAATTTTTTTTAGCTTATTATTGAATTATTTTTAAATGTTGCACGATGTTCCACTAGGTATATCGGAATTGTTTCACTAAGTAGATCGAAAATGTTTCACTCGTTTAAATCGGATGTTGTTTCACCTTATATAAAAACAATGTTTCAGCAAATAGCGAAAGATTGTTTCAGTTCACTGCAACATTTGGTTCATACATAATGAAACATTATAAATACACTAGGTGAAACATTTTTTGGTGGAACAAAAAATAAAACGAATTCTCTTAATAGGGGGTTCCAAAATATGTGGGTTTTTTTTGTTGCAACGGAATATTTCAGTTCACTGCAACATTAGGTCTATACATAGTGAAACATTGTGAGTATACTAGGTGCAACATTTTTGGTGGAACAAAAAATAAACTAAATTCCCTTAATATAGGGTTTGCAAAATATATGGTTGATTTGTTGCAAGTGGGGACAGATATTATGGTGGGGTCAATGGTATCACTGTGCGTGGGGATGGGGCCGCAGGGGGAGCGCCCGATTTTTTCTCCCCCGTCGGTCGACCGACCAATAGCATTATCGGTTTATGTGTGTAGGAAAGTTTTCGATGTGATGTGATATGATGGAAAGTTAGGAATTTAGAGGGAACTAAACAAGCGCTTGTTTCTAAAAAAAAAAAGAACTTGGCATTTCATATGGAAGTTTTGCGCCTCTGCTTGCAGTTGTAATCTGAAGACTGACTTTGCTTTGCTGTGTAAGGTGCTCAGCTCTGTCGTACACTATGTCACTATCCAATCTTTAATTTGTGTCGTGTACGTTGACCTGTGAAAAACTAAAGGAGATATACCGTCAAAAGTCAGATGCATTCCTGTGTCTCCGCTGTGACAACAATACACTGAAACACATTTCTGTAGCTCGTACACTGTAGTCGTACGAACGTTCATACTAACGATTACTGCTGATCCTAATCACAATGAACAGAGGATAATTTGTTACGCTATTAGCCATTTATTACTAGCGTTCATGAACATTCAACTCAGCGATCGACCAAGTGCCGACACATTCAGGAAGTAAACATACTCTAGTCGAATCAAAACAAGTTACCTGAAAACATTGAGCTCAGTGTTTATTGAAACGTGGACGCAGATAGGATCCTATGCAGTGACTGATCACCTTTACACCATAATGGATCCTCAACTGTATGATCATCGATCATGCATTGCCATTGGTGCGGGTGTGAGCTGGTCACCGCACAGAACAGGATCCATGCAAATGCTTTCTTCCCTAATCGCTTTCAAAGTGCTAACTTCCATTAATGTGTGTTTCGTGTCAGCTCACAGCTGACATATTCATGATATCAGCCAGTGTCAGCCTTAACCAAAAATAAAATGACCTCGATTTAAACTACACGTTTGACGTTCACGTTCTTCAAAATCCCAAATTAAAGAAGCTCCTCAATGTCCTTCAGAACTCAGAGTTGTACATGTTTTCATGAAAGTGACGCAAGGCATACTTTTTTGTTTAATAAAAAAAAGAAGAGTATGTCCAAATTCGTTGTATTAGAAATGTCACATCCTAGTACTAGATTGGTTTTTCTTAGGACGAAGAGAGTATGCTTTACTGCAAACTTTGCACAACTACAAGTTCTAACTGCTGAACTATATGTTAAGGTTTGTTGTAAAGTGAGCATAACTTAACTGGTTAAATTTCTTATGGAGTTATGGTGAAATTTTGTCTACCTGAGTTCAAGTATTAAAGTATTTTGTCAACATTTGAAGGGAATATTTCAGTGTAGGTGATATATTCGTCAGTAGCGAAACGTTTATGGTAGTTTTGTTAATCTTAAGATATGCCGGCTTAGTCTTTCAGAAGTGCTCATATCCTTGCCGTAGTAACTTTGTCGATCTAAAAATATACTGACCAAATCTTTCAGAAGTACTCATAGGAATTAGGTATGTGTGTGTGGCTTTATAAAAGGTAAGTGTGCGGACGTCATGAGCATAGTAATAAGCATTAATGTATTAAAAGAAATTAAGGTTTGTTAGTGCTAGTTGCCGCCGCTTGAATCAGCAAACTGCAGCAGTCAGCGTTCGGCTCGACGCTGTTCGCTCTACCAACTCCACGGACCAGTCTGTTTGGTGAACTTGCCAACCACACGGTATTTGCCTATTTTGCCAAGCCGTTTCGCCGTTTTAGCCGATCCATCTCTGCATTAAGGCGTGGCGCGCCTACCATATCAAACCGTCGTCGTCGGTCTCTTCGACACATTCCTGTCACGGAGAGATAATCCCTTTCGCATCAGCGGCGGCATGATATTCCGAGTGTCCGGCCGCGGCGCCCGCGCGCGCCGGGGGCGGCCGAAGATGGCGGTGGCGCGGCTCGGCGCGGGCGCGGGCGCGGGCGGTGGCGCGCCACGGCGGCGCAGGACGTTCTTCCTTTGGCTGCTGCTGCTGAGGTCGCGGCGCGCTCTGGCGCGGCTCAGGGAGTACTACGCCGAGATGATGAGGCGGCTCGTCGCCGAGGCGGCGGCGCTGGAGCCCGCGCCGGCGAAGTCGCGGGGCGGCGCTATCGGCGCGGCGCCGGCGAGGTCGGCGGCCGTCGTGCCCGCGGCGGTGGCGCGCATGGTGCTGAGGTGCAACTCGCACTACTACATCCGCTGAGCTACTCGAGCTCTGATGGCAATGAAAGCTTTGCGCGCGTATCTGTCGTGATATTGTATTTTTTTTCTTCCATTTCTCGCCGTGTAACTAGTAATAAACTTGTAAATTCAATGCGTGACTGTATATGTTTTGCAGAAATAATGTGTCAAGAAACCCTCTCCCCTAGTCTCCTTGATGTTTGGTCATTTTTTTCTTTTATCGTTTATTCTGTGTTGCTTCTTCCGTTCAACCTCTCGTTGTTGGCTTGTTGCCAACTTGCACAATTGCTAATTATGGTGTGTTTGTTCAGCAGAAACAAAGGTAAACTAAAACACGATTAGATCAGTGTACACAATGAATCGGCCATTTGCTAAGTAACACTAAAAAACAACTATTAGTAGTCCAGTACTTACTACTATCAATCATTTTAATGTTTAATATTGCGACTTAAGGACCATAAGAAAGGTCAAAACTGACCAACCAAACCGCAACGCATGAATGTACTAAAGCTCACACAATGACGCCAGGCCCGGTGTGCGGGCTTATATTTGCAAGGCCAGATCTGTCAAAGCCCATAACGTTATCAGGCTGAAGTGCCGAACAGACTAGTACAAGGCCAGGCCAGGCCAGCCACAGAATTTCGCCTTCCCTGACATCCACCAAGCAGCCCAAGTTTGCAACCAAGTTTTTGGCAAAGTTCCGAGTCTGCGCATGAGCGACTAGCCAAACATGCGCCCTCTGGAAAAATAAGCTACAGATGCGAGTTTCAGGCCTTCAGAACGGCGATATCTTTTGGCGAACGAGACTTCAGTCTAGATTGCGTTAACTGTGAACAAATCGGTAACCCTACAAGAAGCAATGACGATATGAAGGGTGATCACCATTTCTCACAAGTCAGATCTGAACAAAAGGTATAACTCACTACTGGAGCAACAGACAAGGGGCGTGTCAATCCAATTGATAATAGTGCTGCTACTATTACTGAAGTTTACGATGGAGTAGTATCAGAGAAGAAAGAACTTGCTCTTGCGTTAAACCTGCTTTAGGAGCCAGAGCAGAGCCCAGTGACAGCACAGATAAACAAACATGCACAGAAGCACATGAGACCTTCCTTCAAAAAAGAAGCACATGAGACTATTCCTGCCAACGAAGTGTTTGACACAGTCCGATCCATAACAACAATACCTAAAAAGTTATACATATCAATTGCAGCTTCAAGTTCAAGCAGCAAAACAAACAACACCATTTGGGCGACTTTAAAATGTGTGTGAAAGCTTAATCTAGGCAATGCAACAGTTTTTTCCCCTGAAATGGATAAGGCGAGGCGCCCATTATTACTTCACATCACCGTCAACTAGAAAAGGTCTAGTTGCAAGACAAAGTCACAAAGTTGAGCATCTCTCACGAGGGCAACCGAAAGCAACCGATACCACTACTTGTACATAGTTCATGGCTTCATGCCACAGATGAGGAAATACAATACACCTATTGAACAAGTACTTGCTGCAGCAACATGCGCTGTCCACATGATTGGAGGTTGCCAACTGCCTAGGATCAATCAAGCGTCGACCTACTCATTTCATCATCTCAGCTTAAGATTATGCTAAAATATCACCATGCGAGCCAAAATGTGATGAATCATGAAAAAGCACATATCTTAACTTTCACTCCAAGCTCTGAATAAATTGAGTGCATGGCTACATGATCAGTACCCATTAGTGTTTTGAACTTTTCACTAATAAGTTCATATCGATCACTGAACAAGAAGGAACCCATAAGGCCAAATTGCCAATGAATCATGAGCAAAACTATAAACAAGGCAAGATCATGCTCTTACATGATCCAAACTACAGTTTACCCATTCTCATACTGTCTCTGCATTCAGTCACAGGGACAGCATCATTTCATTCAAGAAGAGCGAGAAAAGGGAGAATTTTCTTTCCGTGATCGAATCTAGGCTCCTCATATTGTCAATTTTCAGTTCTTCAGAAAAGATATGCCTATGCTTATCATCTTTCAACTGATGATACTTCTTAGATTCGTTGCAGCTCAGAGAGAGAAAGCTCTGTCCATTCTAGAGTTGATTATTCTTCAATTTGATCTAAGTCATCTTTATCCATTCCTCATTCACAAAGGCATCAATGCATCAATTGGTTGGAAACACAAAAGTAGCAGCTTTCTCATTTTGTACTCTACAATTTCCCCCCAAATTACAGAAACACCGGAATCCCCCTGTCACGCAATTGAATTTGTACACAGATTTATTTCTACTTGTCATACAAGATCGGGAAACCAAACAGAGGAGCCACACCTGGGGGCAGCCGCAAAGCCAAACCCTAGGCGCAGGCGCAGGGGTTGTCGACCACGACGAGGTCCTCGCCGTCGCTGCTGCGGAACGCCAAGTAGCCCGCCGCGAGCCCGACGACCACGGCGACGAACACCCCGCCGTTGAACGACATGACGGCGAGCATGAGGAGGTAGCCCAGGCCGGAGTTCACCCCGAACAGCCCGGCCGTCGCCAGCCGCGCCGGCCAGCGTCCGGCGGCGGACGAGGGGAGGAGGAGCGGGGCCCGCGCGGCGTCGGAGGACGCCGGGGGCGGGATGGAGGCCGGCTTGGCGCCCGCGAGGAGCTTGACGCGGATCCGGAACGCCTCGAGGTACTGGTAGAAGGCGGAGGCGAGGAGGAGCGCGACGAGGGAGAGGAGGTACCCGGTCCACGTGGCCGTCCGCCAGCCGTCAAACAGGATCGTCACGTCCTTCCCCCAGTAGAAGGTCATGTGCATCATGGTGCTCCGGCGGAGTGACTGCTGCTGCTGCGGCGGCGGCGGCGGAGGCGGCGAGAGGGGTTTGGTGATCTCGCCGGATTGGGAGCGGAGGCGGGTAGTTTGGACGGAGAAGGGGAGGAGGGATGAGGATTCCGGCGAAAGAGACCGGTGGGATTTTGAAGGAGCGGCCTTCGTTGCGAGGTTTGGATTTTGGGTGCTGGGTTTGGTTGTATTTACGTTCGCGCCACTGGACTGGAGGTTGGGTTTCCCAGCACGGCAGGTATTTTTGTAAGATTTATTTTAGAAGTTTCTGAATAGTAATAACCGGTATCTTCCAACTTAAATATTCTCCTTTATCATGTCCTCTGCTTCTGAGTTGAGAAGCACTATCTTGAAGATGAATAATCATGACACAAAATTCATGTTTACTTATGATAATAGAGAAATAGGAAAAACGTAGGAATAAAATGCCATATTTATTGAATTTATGTGGGATTGCGAAACAAAGGAAAGTCTTTAAACTATCGTTTGATTAGCACACATGAAGAGGAAAACATGAGGTGAGACCTCATACTTATTTTTCTCTAAAATTGCTCTAGTAAGGTATATTCCATAGAAATTTCAAATAAATTGATAGAAAAATAATTCTCCGTTTCAAAGGATACCTCTATAGAATTATTTTCCATAGGATAAAATCCTCTAGAATTTCTATAATTTTTTCTTTGATTTAAAGGGGGCCTTCTATCACTAACATGCGTTTCTACTTGATAGTAGCCCATATGTCAATAATTCATGTCAAAGCAAGTTATCTGTATATCCGATGTTGATTCCTATATAGTTATGTATAACTCAAGTAATGAAGCCAACGATATCGTTGAGTCCAAACAATTAATAGTGTTTTTATCGGCTAGCTATTTTTTTTCAAATATCGGCGGTAGTCGGTTGAGCAGGGATTGGGATCCACTGACTTCACATAATGAAGTCAGAGAGACGTACAGTGCCATTACTTTGGGATATTCTCAGTTGTCCGATTTACAGCGAATGAATGAGATCGATCACTACAGTATACTAGGTACATCATAAACAATATTCGGGAACACTGTATTTACTGTGTTTTGTACTGTACCTATAGTAATTAACTACAAATTACTGTCCCTACTGTAGTAGCAGGATCATTTTACCCTACGCCTCTACCTTCAGCCCCTAAAAGCAGAGGAGCTGGCTCTGTTGAGGTGATCGTCTGACTAGCTTAAGAGGTGGCTTCCCGCTGCCTAATTTAGTAATTTGCAACCGTATGGCATGAAACATGATGCTTTGAATAAGTGAAAAGTTTATAGGTGGAAGCAACATGTAGGTATAGTATTTTATCCCATAATTTTGTTTTAGAAACATACTACAAACGCACGCGTTTATGACACGGGTACACTCATCTCTATAAACACACACGCACACCCCTACCCTTATGAGCCTCATCTCTACGAACATATACACACGCTACCCTTATGAGCCTCATCTCTATGAACACACATACGCACACCATATCTCTATGAGCATCTCCAAAAGATTGGACGGACATATCTTGAAATTGACAAAGTAACCACTGGTATCTCGCTGTCGACGGGTACGCTGCCTACCACTAAAAACTAATAAGCAATAAATACGAGCACTCGTGTCAAGTTTATGACTTAACCCGGATGAGTTAGTTCCAAAAAAAAAACTAACAAGATAAGTTATACTCACTTCACTTTATCCTAGATAATCTGATAATCATGGTTGGTGATCGACTCACCTGATTGTTTAGTGGTCGTTTTATGTTTATGACTTGTCCGACAGATGCTTCGCCTCCTAGCTTAAGGCCCTACAAACAAGCTCGCGTGCGTCATGTTTGGAACGAGTCTGGGTCAAAACCGCCACTATCCAACGCTTACGTACCTTACCTTCCCCCTCCTTTTCGGCCGCTCGCCGGCGCATTGCCCCGTCCGGCTCTCCTTCCTCGAGTGCTGCTGCTGCATTGGTCATCATGCTGTGGCAACTGGCAAGAGGACGTAGGAGTGGGAATCATGGGCAAGTGGCAAGAAACGCCAAACCAGATGGATACTATAAAATACTAGTGCTAGTGCTAATAGATGGCATCGACGCCGAGGCTGTGGGCCGTGGCTCACATGTAATTAGCGGGCAAAGCGTGCCCTATCAAATGGAGCATCAGCAGCAGTACAATCAGGCGGGCAGCCGAGGCAGTACAGGGGCACGACCTGTACTACACTTGTACTCCCGCGTCCGGGCAAAAAAGCTGGGAGAGGCGCGCGGGCTGGCGGAGGCCGCAATGCCGTCGCGACTCGTTCTTTTTTTTCATTTTTTCAGTTGCGGGCGGGCGGCGAGCGCCTTGCCTAGGCCGGCGTCGCATAGCAGCGGTGGCTGCGGTGCGCATAGCGTGCCCGCAACGTGCGCCTCGTGCAGGCGGGTCAGCGGGTGTCACCACGGCCCACGCACGCGACGCGCTCCGTTTTACCGGTCGTTTCCTCGACGACGACCACGCACACGCGCCTCATACGAGTGAGTGAAGAGTCGGTGGAGGCTGGAGCACAGGAGCAGGCGAGCAGCCGCGCAGCGGCGCAGGCACTCGTTTTCTTTTGGAAAAAGTACACCGAAGGTCCCTCAACTTGTCATCGGGATAAAAAACGTTCTCGAACCACAAAACCAGATATGTGGGGTCCCTTAACTATATAAAACCGGTCACCTGAGATTCTTCAGTGGTTTTGACCCCGGTTTTGATCTAGGTGGCAGCTGAGTAAGCATGGGACCCACATGTCAGGTGACACGTCGTCACCTCTCTTTTCCCCCTTTCTCTCTCTTCCTCCTCTCTCTATCTTCTCTGTGCTGGCGAGGCGGGGCGCGTCGACTACCAAGCTCCACCGCCGCACCCGACGACGACGACGATGACACACAAGCGCGAGGCTGGGCGGAGAAGGGGCGGTGGGCACCAGCCGCAACGTCAGCCTCTGCCTCCACCTACGTCGCCGCACCCGACAACAATACACGCGTGCAAGGCCGGGTGGAAAAGGGGCGGCGGCCGGCGGAGTGGCGGCGGGCACCAGCCGCAGCGTCAGCCACCGAGGCCTTCGTGAGGAGGGCAACGACAGTGGAGGACGACGCCACTGCTGCCGACAAGGCCGAGAGGCGCGGAGACGGGGGCAGGAGCGGCGTGCGGCCGGCGGGGGTAGATATCCCCTCCATCGTCACGTCGTGCGGAGAGGCCGAGGGAGTGCAGGAACTCGACGCGCTTGAGGGAATGTAGGAACTCGACGCGCTCGCGCATGACATCGATGGTGGCGTGGAGCTCGAGGCCAGCGAGCTCACCCGGGTCGATGCCGAGAGAGGCGAGGAACGCGTCGACGTCGGCGCGGCGGGCTGCACGGCCACGCTCCATGTCGAGGAGGCTGGGGCGCGCGTAGAGGGAGGAGGAGGAGGAGGGGGAGGGGCGGGGGCTGGGCCGGGGCCTGGCATGGGTGGGTTCCCGGGAGCGGCCGGCGCGGGGTGGGGAGGAGGCGGATGTGGAGGCGGTGAGACGGAGGAGCTTGCAGAGATGGGAGGATGGGGGGAGAGGTGGCGGCTTGGGGTGGGCGGAGAAGAGGACGAAGAGAGGTGATGAGACGATGGGAACTCGGCCGCTCGGGGCCTCGGGGTAGAGAGGCGCAGGTGACCGGCCGAGACATCGATGAAGGGGATATCTTCCTCTGAATATGGATCGTCGGCTTCCCCATCTTCACCGAGACCAATTGCACGTCGGCGCTGACATGGCCCTAGCACTCCTCGGTGGGTTCCCTTTTATTGCTGCACCGACGCCGCTACAAGATCATGGTTGGGCCCTCGGTGACGACGGCGAGAGCTCCCCTGCTCCCGCGTCGTCGTCGTCGTCGCCGTCGCCGCCACCGCCGCCACGTCGCCGGCCGCCAGACCTCCTCTCCCGCGTCGCCCAGTCTGTCTCCTCGCCATCAGTCGGCCGGCGGCGCCGGCCTGCCAAGAGCACCAAACGAGAAGAGAGAGAGAGATAGGAGAAAAAGAGATGAGGGAAAGGGTGATTGTCGACGTTTGATGTCGCGATTCCGGTATTTGCATAGTATGGGGATCGTCGGTACTAGGGTATACGCGAGACTGAGGTAAAAGAGATGGAGACGAGGATTTTTATACAGGTTCGGGCCCCTGAATTGTCAGGTAATAACCCTACATCTTGTTGGCCGAAGCCGGTATTGCTCTTATTCACCATAATCACACCAGTACAATATTTGGGGTAGCCTATCTAATTGTTGTAGATATGGCGGTCTGAAGGTCTGACTCGTAGTCGACAACAGGGTAGTCTTCCTCCTCGAGTTCGTGCTCGGCGAGATCAAAGATAACGCTTTCGTCTCTCCTGACAGTATCCGGAGATACCGTAGGGGACTAGTCGTGCTTATCTCCGAAATCGATATCTGGCGTCTTGTCTTGGCGTATGTTGGCTTGTATTGGTTCATGGCTTTGTGGCGTCTATGTTGCCCGTTGATTGTCCGTGTCTCCTCTCCTCCTAGGGGGTCTTGTATTTATACCCATAGATGTCCCCTTGTCCAAGTAGAACTAGAGAAACCAATATGGATACAATCCGAGTAGTCCTTGTCGTTTCCATGTAGAACTCTGGTTGTCTTTCCTTATCCGGAACTCCCTCCATATATCCGCAGTCAGTTCCCGTATAAGACATGGTATGTGGTGGGTCCTGCCGAGATTTAGTCAACTACTATTAGGTATGTAGTATCCATAACCCTGACAGTGATGATGTGGCTAGCTGACATGTGGGGTCCATGTGGGTCCCACACTGACTCAGCCACCACGTCAGACAAAACCGGGTTGAAAACCACATAGGGATCTCGGGTGACCGGTTTTATATAGTTGAGGGACCCTGCATATTTGGTTTTACGGTTGGAGGATGTTTTTTTTATCTCGATGACAAGTTGAGGGACCCTTGGTGCACTTTTTCCTTTTCTTTTGGGCTGGGACTCCAGTGAGATGTCCCCTTTGGGCCAGCGTGGAGTTGGATCAATGAGGCCCATGCAGTTAGCCAGGCGGGAATTAGAATAAGTCCACTTCGACTCCCTCAAATATATATCCAATACTAAAACCCGATCAGAATACCATATATGTTAGAACCCTCAACTACTAAAACCCGTATGAAATGATTCCTTCGA